GTTTTATTGATAAACAGATAGCAATGAGACAGTTTCAAATCAAATCAGAAGTACAGTTTCAACAAATAATACACTGCATATATTCTTCTTAGTGTTGACTGAGGATCTTAATAAGGCCCCATCTTGTGTTAGTCAACATACCCCTTAGATCTTTTAATCTATAGTTACTCATTCTTTCCTGGCCTACCCTGTTTTCTTAGAATTTATTTGTAGAAAAAAAAAAATCAGTTTTTTGCCCTATAAAATCTCTCACTTTTTAAAAAATGTATTTAGTACAGCGTCTCACTACATAGATCAGATTCTTTCCTGTTTTTTCAGCCTCCCAAGTATTGGGATTACAGGCATGTGCCACCATAGCCAGTCTTAATCACAGTCTCAGCACACCCCGGGGTCAGGGCTGGCACAGCAGGCTGGGGATCGAACCCTGGTCCCTGGCTCTGCCTAAGTAGGTACTTTAATTTACTGAGGTATCTTGCCTGCTCCAAAAACTTGAATTTTGGAACAAAATTTTGGATTTTGTTGATTGTATCCCTATATCAACATATTTTCCTGTCTCTTATTATTTCTATACATTGATCCTCAGACCTAGTATGGAGGCTATAGGGGATCAAACTGCGGTCCTTGTGCTTTGCCTAAGCAGGCACTTTAGACTGATAAACTATCTCCCCAGCCCCAGACTTAATTTTTGACAAGAATAAATAGATAGTGGAACATTCTCATAAGGCTCATTTATTTCATTAGGGGATATAAGACTGATATTCTAATTCTAAAGTAAATATCTGATACAAATTCTCATATATTAACTGGAATTTTATAGAACTTAAATTACTCCCCCCCAAAAAACCCAGTTAATTTTGTGTAATTTTCTCTAACATTTATTAATTTAGTTACTTATTTACAAAATAAATAAATTCCTCTGGCATTTACATATTTATTTACAAAATCTGTATCGACTATATGTTATAAAATGGTCTGAATCATATGAACATACCATAATTTAATTGTCCTCTGATTGATGGTTTATTTTTTTCACTTTTTGTTATAAATAATACAATAAAGAATCTTATGTATAAATCAATCTATTTTCTTAGAGTCCATTTGTTAATGAGAACTACTAGTTTTGAAGAAAAACTTGAAAATCTTGAAATATTCCTCCTTAGCAAGGTTTTATGAATTATATATGGCATGTTACAAATCAGCAGTATATAATTTCACAAACTTGCACCAATTTTTTTTTTTAATTTTTTTTTTTATTTATTTGAGAGAGAGAGAGAGAGAGAGAGAGAGAGAG